CTTGAACAAAATAAAAGTAGACAATCCTGCTATCCTGGCATGATGAGCAAATAGCTTCATCTATTAGATCCTCACTTCATAGTCGTAGGCAATGATCTTCAACTAGCAGTAAAGCTATATTAGTTGTAGTGGTGGCATCAATTGGTTGTGTAGCTTACGGTTGGACAGAATACGCCAGACTGGAAGAACATGTCGCTGCAATGAAACATGATCGAGGGGAGGCCTCGCCACTGGTGGCGCATTGTATTCTGTGCCGAAAACCCTCGATCCGTCAACAGCCAACGCTTTAGCTGCAGAGCCCAACTGGCTTTGACGCATTAGAAAAGCCACCGAAGCTCACTTGCAATCTCCATCACAGCATTAAGGCGCGGGGCGCAGGCAAAGCGCCATTGTGGGACAGCGTTTTCAATCGCACGTGTTACACCTCATCTTATTCGTAACACTCAGTGGAAGGCCGGCATTGCGCGGTGCGCGGTTTGTTGGAAATGCCGTTTGATATTGATATACTGTAAAGCCTGAGCTTTTATTCGTCTGGTCTTTTGCTTATTGTTGCAAAATTTTACGCCAACTTAATGCAGTTTAACTGTACTTTTTTCTCCTCGAAACGATCCAATCATAATTCATCCCCCGTCGTCTTGGATGGCATTCTAAAAAGACATTACGGCGCGTTCCACAATGTGATAGCCGGCCGCCGCCGTTTTGGAAGGGCTTTTACGCGCACCGACACCAGCATACGCAACAGCGGTCTTGGCTAAAAAATATCCAGGGAATACATGGCAAACGTCATTCCACGCAACACAATTCAGATTCAGATTCACATAGGTAGCAGTGTGCGCCTAGTGCGCGCCTAAGGGTCTTGTGCGCACGCCCTTTACGAATGGGAAAATCGAAAAATATTCGTTTTTCTCGGTTGGCTTCAGTCTTAGAGACACTGATCCGATACATGTTTCCCCTTTTGACGACTTTTAACTCAGAAATTCCATTTTCGCACTTGTTATACTGAAAGTAAGCGACTGGTGTTAAAAATGCGCAGATTTTTCACTTAGCACTGGAATTGGGCTTCTTTATGTGTGCGTGCCTTGGCTGCGTTCCCAGCACGAAAAATACAGCTAGACGAAACATCGTTAGATTGAGCTAGAAGCGTAAAAACGTCGTCTTTACGTTTCTAAAACCAAAGGCAGATAGACAAATGTTTGTGGGATGGGGGCCGATCAGTGGCGCAGAAAATGTTGGAAGCATTAATCTCTACGGCCCTCGCAAAAATCCTAGCTGCCTCAGTGAGCTAGGCAACGCTAAAATTTACAATGGCGGTAATTGCCATAGAGCCTCCAGGGACTCATCACCAGCTATCGCTAGCCACATCTTAAGCCTCCGGCTAAGGCAATCTTTGACGATCAACACGGTAAGCGGTGGAATTGGCCTGTTTATGTATGGTGCTCAACAGTGCGTGGTGATAAACTCAAACACACAAGGATACCATGAAGGGAAGAGTTAAAATGAAGCATCTCTAAAAAAAAACACGAAAAACGATGGTAGAAAAGCAATGAGGGAATCCCACCATCATTTGATTATCTGTAATGAGCCTGGCGGCCGGTTGTAATAAAAAACCTTTGCATTGAGTACATTTCTAGGATGAGAGTGGACGTTAAGCAGCGCTTGTCGCATAAGCGCCGGCCCCGCCATCCGACTGCAGCTGGAGTCGCGTGGCCTTCAGCGCGCTAGCTGCCACCGGCCGCAGGCCATCCTAGTCAGGGGCAAAAGCGGGGAACTACAGCAAGCCAATCCCACATCGGCACGCATAGGTCGAAAAGACAGGGGTGAAAAAGTGTCTTTTTTGTCAGCGGCGAAATTTGGCAACGTATAACTTGTCACCTGGAGCCAATTCTTTTAGAAACCGTTGCATTACTACTCTAAATGAAATAAACCACGAAAACAAAGACAAATGAAATAAAATCCGGCATAGCCATCAAGCATTTTTGCTTCGGGAGCTCATTTGCGCGAAAATGTCACTTACTGGCCATCGAACACTGCATGATGATTGAGAATAAACTAATAAAAACATCAGATAAAGGCATGCTTCACATAACCAACCCAGAGGCGTGAAATTTACTTTTCAGTTAAGGGTTGAGGGTACCGTGCCACCTAACCAGGGATGAAGTTTCCCATTTTTAGTTATCATTTTTCCCGTTTTTTCCATTATTCATAATTTTGGGGGCTCAGCCCGCCAAACGTAATTTTGAGAGACCACACCACTGTTCCCAACTGTAAAAGAAACCGCGCCAAATATGGGGGTAAAACTAGTTGGAGTGAATTTCGGAGGCAGGCTCAGCCATTTTTTCCTCTGCACCCTCCTCCCCATTCCTTCCTCACGCCTATGTATTTTGAACAACCGCATTCCTGTAGCCCTCCACTTACCGGTAAAATGGTTCGACAAGCACCTGGAGACAATGTCCCTTTTGGTTTTGTGACGTCATCGTACAATCGTTTGGAAAGCTGGGCGACCTTCACCATCTTGCATAATCGTTACGGGTGCAGAACTCGCCCTTCCTAACATGATCCCAACTATTTAGAGCAAAACCCATGCAACATTGGTATCAACAAATGCATGCAACATTTTTAAACACCTCCAGCACTTTGATATAGTTTTATATGCAATACGATTAAAATCACAAGTGTTTGTCTCACGCCTATCCAGCGATCAGTGTCCCGGCTCTGAGGTGCGGCGGGCAATGAAAGAGGCCTACGCCAGCGATACTCGGCCTCTTGCCTCAACGCCACTGTTCCTGTCAGCAGCAGGAAGCCACGGATGAATCCTTGACGCATGTCGCTCCAACATCTTCCTTTCACCTCTACAGCTACAGCTCAGGTATCCACAAACAACAATCCTCCTAGATCACCAGGATTAAGGTGAATCTTGGTTGAAAAACCTGCGAAAAGCACTGATGTGAGGGCATTTGAAAAGCACTGTGCTACCACTGACCTGTGACGTCAGCACTGATTAAGTATAATTTGTGGCATGTTTCTGGCACCTGCTAAAAACTATCCGGGTTAAAACTACTATGCATGGAGGCAGCTTATGGCTCAACTTGCTCGTATAGCGAAACATTAACGTTTCGACATGTGCACTGCACACGCTCACGTTGCAAGCGTTAGCGAGTACAGACCAATATCAAGATTTGAGTTTCAGCTAGCCGGGATATTCTGTTGCAAGTTGTTATTGTCTGTTGAGCGCCTCAGTTTCTGTCACCTACCATATCTGGTAAAACAGAAACTTTTTTCACCCCGCAAGCAAAAGGCAACTGCTCTAACCGGCTGAGCTATTGAACGGACATAGCATTACTCATACGATTGATGGTGGGTTATGGTATATATATATATATATATATATATATATATATATATATATGTATATATATGTATGCATATATATGTATATATGTATATATATAATATATATGTATATATATATATATATATATATATATATATATATGTATATATATATATATATATATATATATGGTTATGAACACACCACACACACACACACACACACACACACACACACACACACACACACACACACATATTCATTGCTCGAGCTTTCCGGCAGGTCTTTGATTGTTTGACGCTTGCACAACTTGTATCTCCCAGATACACGAAAAGCATCTGGCTGTTAAGTGGGAAGGGAAGGCAAAGGAGAAAAATGGGGTGGGGGGGGGGAGCAAGTATGCCTGATGCGAAATTGCTTGAGTAGTTTGTCAAATAGCCAACCCAGAAGGACGCAGGTCATCTCTTGCAAAGCTATCTTCGCAGAAAGCGCACCAGACTATCACTCCACAAGGCCAAGCACTGCAGGTCACATTCGTCAACACACATCAAGAAAGCAAGAAGCCTGTCTGGAATTAGAAGCACCCCTGGTATTCGCTGGCTGCCTGTCGATCCCGGGCCCGAAACAGGGATGCTGACAGTGAGGTGCTAAGCGTCCGGGGATGATGCCAGTGAGGTGCTGATCGTCCGGGGATGATGCAAGTGAGGTGCTGAGCGTCCAGGGATGATGACAGTGAGGTGCTGATCGTCCGGGGATGATGACAGTGAGATGCTGAGCGTCCGGGGATGATGAAAGTGAGGTTCTGAGCGTCCGGGGATGCTGACAGTGAGGTGCTAAGCGTCCGGGGATGCTGATAGTGAGGTGCTGAGCGTCCGGGGCGCTGGGCCGTGCCCCCCAGAGGCATTCCCACGTCACCGGCCGACAGCCGAGTCACCGGACTGCGCCGGCTACTGTCTGGCCGCATACGCAGCAGCAACCATGACATCATTGTCTGCGCACTGGTACTAAATTAAACTCACCGGTCAGACCTGTAACCGGCGCACGACCTGTACCGATAAGGCGCTAAATCTTTGCTGCTGTCAGGCGTCAGCTCATGCCGACTGATGCTGTGATCAATCACCTAAGTTATATGGTAAACTCTTCTAGCCAAGTGTCTTTGTTGATCGTGGTCTTGATTATGTTATCGCTCGATCATATGCCAATTTTTTTAACCGGAGAATTCCATTTACTCAAAGGCCGGTTTCGTCTTCCATGGAATCCAGACATTTTCTAGAAACCTAAGATCTTTTCTGAACAAATCTGGGCATTAGGGAACCTGTAGAATGCGGTAGCAGGACACCGACATAGCGGCACATAAACAGTCTTACGACAAGCGCATGCGTCCAACAGCCTTCAGACAGCAGCAGGATCGATTCCTGACACATCCTGTTTTTTTTTTTGCTCCTCGGCGTGACCTTTCCCGATGCCAGTCCTCGGTAGCAAATCACCTGCGTGACAAACCGCTCGGGATCAGTCCGTGTGACGTAGCTCCAACGGCACGTTAAGTCGGCTCAAGTTAAGCCCGGCCCCCTCGCTCCGATCCAATGGGCATTAGAGCGCGTCACCGAGCGCGCGGAGGCGGCCCAGCGGCGCGTGCTATAAAGAGCGGCCCGGCCGGCGCCGCTGACTCACAGCAGCATCGCTCCAGCACGGCCGGCACCATGTGGACCTACCTGATCGTGACTGCGCTGACCGTCCAGCTGACGCTCGGCCAGCAAGTGCACAGATATATTCGCATCCCAGTTGCGCCAGGTGAGACACGTGCCGTAATTTTTGTTCTCTGCAAGTCGACAAACGCTTCAACGTAGTTGTTTCCGGTGATAAAAGTCAGTAACATAATGTGACGCCACCTACGGAAAGCATACAGATTACATACCTGAGACGGGAATTTGTTTTTGAATAAAGTATGCGTGCAAGCTGATGGAAGCTTGCCTCCACTTGTAAGTTGAGGGCTAATAATCCCACAGGTGAGTGATTGCGGGCGTGGGTGGAACCTCGAGTTGGTCCCGCTTGATAAATGAATCAGCTTTCATCCTAAGCAAACCGCCCATCCGATTCTTTCTTGACCGGCTCATATCTTGACCGGGTCTAATCTGTATAGCTGACTAACGATTTTAGGAAACGGGGCTTTAAACACAATACAAAACTGTCAGACAACCCTGTGTCAAGGTTCAGTTTAGCCCTCAATAACGTAATTATGACAGTTCTGAATTCTATATTTTTAGCGTTTTTGGTACGGAGAAGACAAAATATTTCTATGGTTGCTTGAATGTGTATAAAATGCATAGGAAGTGACAAAATTCGATGATACTGATTGATTATCCTACGTGACTTTTAGCATTTTTGTTTTCATCATGATGTATTTTGGATATCTCCCAGTAACCATAACAATATTTGTAGTGTCAGCGCCCAAACGTGCTATAAAGACAGAGGTGCATGACGCTCGTCCGAACGAAATTCAAGACTTGATCACTCGTGCCAGTTGTGTTTTCCAACAATGAGATAAGGTCTGGAAATGTCAAGATATCGAGGAATATCTATAAGTCTTATGAGTAACTCATAGCTGCTATTTTCGAGAATTGACATACATATTGCAATTATGACAAGCATACGCATTTACCTCCGGCACAAAGTTTTAGAGGTGCGCTATCTATCGTCTGGCGAAGCATATTTCGAAGCTTTTAAATAATCAGGTTCGCACAAATTTGAAAAACCGCACAATATTGCTTCGCATGCAAAAACCGCCATCCGAAAATATATGAAAAGCATGCCAAAATATGACAGTCAGTAGGCATATTAGGGACTGGGGACCAGTTCCCACATGTCAGCTTGCCGTCCCATACGAGACAGCAAGATTTATACAAGATTTCAACTCTGCTCATGTTTGAATTGTTTCCTCTTATATAGGATACCTGTAATACGGAGAGCCGGCGTACTTCATTACAAGAAGCAGCATTCTGGTGTTAAGTGTGGGCATTTGTCGCGTAAGGCTTTGTTGGTATGCTTTCTGGAAGTGATGTTTAGGAGTACCGACCTGCAAATGCAGCATTGCCAGGGTTGTTGTTGTGCCAATGCGGATAATATCACACAGCCTACAATCTGCATTCAGGCATTGGAGTTCATAGATTGCGATGGCGTATTCTAATTGTTTGCGTCGTTTGGTGTGTTTTTCGTGATGAAGTTGGACACTTTTTTTGGTCATAAGTATATTCCGAGCTGTGTACTGGGATCTTGGGGAATCGGCTTTGTTTTCGATTCCTGGATAAAGTTGAAATTGTGTTCTCACCCTTGCAAAGATGGAGAATGTTGTTTTTTTCATTTCACATCCAACGGTCAAGCCAATTCTGGGACCTTGCACAAGCCATTAACAATTTCTAGCTAACCAGCTAACTGCCGCTGACCAGCTGATCAGCTGGAGACAAAGTCGCCCAGCCGGCCAGTCGCGGAAGCCGGGTTCGCCAGCCGGCGATCGGAAAACCAGCAAACAGCAACTGATGTTGGCATATATATATATATATATATATATATATATATATATATATATATATGTTCACACAAACCTGTGTCCGTCCGCCAACACAAGTGTCATAAGCCAGGTCGAGTTCGAACCTTACAACTCCGGTTTGTCCACAGAGCACAAGAACGAGTGCTACGATCCAGCGGTGGACAATTTTTACAACATCGGCGAGGAATGGGGTCCCAAAAACGCAAACTGCAAAATGAGCAAGTGTGTCAAGGAGAAGGGCACCCTCTTCATAGACCGCATCGCGTAAGCAGGGGACTGGGCTGCAAATGTTTAGGGGAATTGGGGATTGCCTAGAGGAAGTCGGGATTGCATCGGTTGGAGAGCATGGTTGTCCATATCCTCCTAGTTTGTAAAACTGTTGACTGTGGTTCTGGATGGTATCCAGATGGTATCTGCATGGTATCAGTATGGGCGATGGCGGTGGATATGGCTGATACGAGGGAGCGGTAAGACGCTCACGAACCGTGGGGTAGAGACTTCAAGAAATTCCAGTGCTACAGTCTCCATCTGTCTACTATGTCACAACTGGCATCCCTCAGGCTGCTTAATCGCAATACTTACGCAAAAGAGAAGCTTCGATGTAAGCTTTTACAGAGTTCTCCATAATATAGAGCTAAAGTGCTGGAAAATACAAGCAACAATAGGTGAGTACAACTCATTGAAAATGCTTAGTGGGTGACTATGGGCACAGCACCATGGGTAGGGGGGCCGACTGAGCACAGGAAATAATACCCGCGAAGGCTTCTTGGGTGCTGTAGCTGGCAACCCTGAATCACCTCGCGACTACCTGGGGTGGTCGCCTCTCGACCACCTGGGGTGATCGCCTCACGACTACCTGGGGTTGTCGCCTCGCGACCACCTGGGGTGGTCGCCTCTCGACTACCTGAGGTGGTCGCCTCACGACTACCTGAGGTGATCGACTCACGACTACCTGGGGTGGTCGCCGCTCGACTACCTGAGGTGGTCGCCTCACGACTACCTGGGGTGATCGCCCCACGACTACCTGGGGTGATCGCCTCACGACTACCTGGGGTGGTCGCCTCTCGACTACCTGGGGTGATCGCCTCACGACTACCTGGGGTGGTCGCCTCACGACTACCTGGGGTGGTCGCCTCTCGACTACCTGGGGTGGTCGCCTCTCGACTACCTGGGGTGGTCGCCTCACGACTACCTGGGGTGATCGCCTCACGACTACCTGGGGTGATCGCCTCACGACTACCTGGGGTGGTCGCCTCTCGACTACCTGGGGTGGTCGCCTCACGACTACCTGGGGTGGTCGCCTCACGACTACCTGGGGTGATCGCCCCACGACTACCTGAGGTGATCGACTCACGACTACCTGGGGTGGTCGCCTCTCGACTACCTGAGGTGGTCGCCTCACGACTACCTGGGGTGATCGCCCCACGACTACCTGGGGTGATCGCCCCACGACTACCTGGGGTGATCGCCTCACGACTACCTGGGGTGATCGCCTCACGACTACCTGGGGTGGTCGCCTCTCGACTACCTGGGGTGGTCGCCTCACGACTACCTGGGGTGGTCGCCTCTCGACTACCTGGGGTGATCGCCTCACGACTACCTGGGGTGGTCGCCTCTCGACTACCTGGGGTGGTCGCCTCACGACTACCTGGGGTGGTCGCCTCTCGACTACCTGAGGTGGTCGCCTCTCGACTACCTGGGGTGATCGCCTCACGACTACCTGGGGTGGTCGCCTCTCGACTACCTGGGGTGGTCGCCTCACGACTACCTGGGGTGGTCGCCTCACGACTACCTGGGGTGATCGCCTCACGACTACCTGGGGTGGTCGCCTCACGACTACCTGGGGTGGTCGCCTCTCGACTACCTGGGGTGGTCGCCTCACGACTACCTGGGGTGGTCGCCTCTCGACTACCTGGGGTGGTCGCCTCTCGACTACCTGGGGTGGTCGCCTCACGACTACCTGGGGTGGTCGCCTCACGACTACCTGGGGTGATCGCCTCACGACTACCTGGGGTGATCGCCTCACGACTACCTGGGGTGGTCGCCTCTCGACTACCTGGGGTGGTCGCCTCACGACTACCTGGGGTGGTCGCCTCTCGACTACCTGGGGTGGTCGCCTCGTGACTACCTGGGGTGATCGCCTCACGACTACCTGGGGTGATCGCCTCGCGACTACCTGGGCTGGTTGTGAGCTCATCCCGCCAGAGCACCGATACCTACACCGACGTGTGGTCCCTGTGCAGAGCGAGCCCCTTCAAAGGGGATAACGGATCATGCTACAGTCCTTCGCCACTTCTTGCTTTTCTGCTTAAGTTCACAGCTCTGAAATTGTCAATGATTGCTTAAAACCTGTAGACATAACCATCGTGTATTTTTCGTTGTGGCTGAGTATGTGCTACCGATTTCTGCTCATGTAAAATTGCAAAATGAATGAATAGATGGCATGATTCCTTTCTTTTGACCTCACAAAATGTCATGGCCAAGTGCCTTGTGGCATATTTTCCAAGCTGACAAAGCGAGACGTTAAGATAAATCTCCCCCGTCCTATAAGAGCCTTTATAAGATAGCCCATATTGGCTGTGATATGGGAAACCGTAATTTCGGTGAAAGCCTGGGATATCAGCAAAAGCGCTGGTAGAGAAGCTAACTGAGAATAAGCAGCAGCTCATGAGCTTGATTCACCGACTGTTGTCCACAGATGTAACGACGTCCGCAAATTGGTGGACTTCAAGGACATGCACGCGCGTCACCTGTTCTGCCGGATCGCGGTCGGAGACAGGCGCAAGGCGTTCCCCGGCTGCTGCCAGCAGTTGGTCTGCGCCAGGCACGAGAATGGCAAGAGAACACGCGTGAGTGCGAATGAATTGCCCTTATTGCCCAGCCAGGAGACGTTTGAGTACCTGTAAGCGCTCTGTTAGCTGCCCGGGACCTTAGTCATCCGCGAGAGCTTATCTTTGCCCCGCCAATATCAGTCCCTGCCGCCTTAAGTCACACCTGGCCGATCGAGGTCTCTGTTTGCCCGGATGGCACATCTTCCGCCTTTTCCGGACTTGACGGATGTAAGGCGTGGGTTAGATGTAGCGGTGGTGCGATGTAACACTGTCGCCAATATGGGGCTGGCTTCAGACAGGTACAGGCCGGGGCTGCTTTATACTGGTTTTAAACACGCCAAGCAGGCACTTCTGTAAGCCATCGGAGCTGCGTGGCCACATATTTGTACGTCTGTAATGTCCCACAATTTTGTGCAAATAAACGACCACATATGCACAAAAATGTTTCAACACGTCTTCGATGATGCATTTAAGGTGGATGATATTCTTTCTGCACCTCCGTGTTTGGTGTAACAAGAGCAGAATTGGGTAAGACAGCATTTACAATATAGATACAGTGATTGAGTGGCGCTTTCAAAGGACCACACGGAAGTTCGATGACAATATGGCTTCCCATGCTACCCTGGGACTTTATTTACGTACAGGAACTGTGCATTACAGGGTGCGCCACTATCACTACACCGTGTGTTTTAAGTGTACGGTCAATAATGGCACGCCTTTGTGCAGAGTGTAGCTTGCCAGACGGATTCAGATTCAGAGTGTGTACAACTAGGCAAGATTTTGACTGTTATATCCGACATCATGTTTTGTTTCTTTCATGGTGATAAGCTTCCCATTGGAACCTGTCCCACACCCAAGTGCGAGGCGGATAAGGTCTGAACGCTGCACAAATTGGCCAACAATCGAGCATGAAGCGTTACAACTCACAAAGTGATACAAGCTATACTACAAGTGTTAGTAAACGTGAATTGCTTCAGAGATAAAAAGCTGGGATATTTCCGATTTTCAGCTGCTTCGTTCCACGTAACATCCATTACAGAGTGCTTAAGTTGCTCAAATTTTATAACTAGCATTTTTCCGATCATTTTGTCAAGGTCTAAAACTTCTCTGGATGCTTTCAAATGATCGCAAAAAGTGTATTTTATCTTATCGCCCAGTGCTTTACATCGAACTCATCTAGCCCTCCAGAGTGCTTTCTTGCGCTGCCGTCTAAACACACGCGCGACACTTACTGTCATCTAACACAAGCTGGTAAGTTAGCTATGGCTCCCTGCGAGGAAGTGGCCACGTTCCTAAAATGGAGTGTTTCACCTCTTGCGCATATTAAAAAAACATACTCCAGTGAAATCTCAGGATCAGGACCTTGCGTACTTTAATAGCGCTGGTAAGTGCCATTGCATCACCCTCAGCGCATGACAAGGACATCAGTTTTAATGATTTTGGAGTCAAATTACACTGTCAACGCTTTGTCACAGCACTACGCTTCCTCCCTGCGGTTGTTGTTATTGTCCTCGTCATGGCAGCCGCGGTGGCGCCTCCAGTGGTGAGAATAAAAGAACATTTGTGATTGGCCCAGCGAGCAGCAAGGGTTTGTTATCGGGGAGCGCATTGGTTTAAGTTTTAACCAATGCGTTACTATGGGGGGAGGGGTCTAAAGTCTAGTACAAAATATGGCAGCAACGGCGCACATTTCACGACTATCCATGGGTTTCCCATGTTAAAATGACATTCTTCAGACCATATATATATATATATATATATATATATATATATATATATATATATATATATATATATATGGTATCCATATGTATGCATATTATGTATAGCCTGAAAATGCATCTGCTGTGCTGTGAAATGTGCTGCGAGCTATTACAAGGAATACACATAAGATATTTTTGTGTCTATCAAATATACCTGGCAGGCGTTATGCAGCCGTCGGGCTACGTGCAACAGCCTATGGCTGGGGCGCATAACATTATTGTGCCTGACGTATGGAACCTATCGCGACGGTAGCGGTCCAAAGCTGGCCGTCCAACGCGCCCAGAGGTAGGACCAGGCACTGTGTTAGGTTCTTAAGTTGTGATGCTGGCGGCCACTCCTGTGCAGGGCCGGCAATGCCGCCTCAGGACCAGTGCAGCAACGATAGCATAGCAACATTGCAAGCACCGCTGATTGGAAAGCAGTTGTGCTTAAAAGTGGGATGGCAAGCATTATAACGGTAAGTGCCATAATGGCGAGCTGTACTGCACAAAGGCCCTGATATGACAAAATTTGAAAACTTCTTTGATTGATCTTGAAGAGCTTAAACACCTGACAGACCTATGGCCGAAGTAACCATGCTCCCTAAAACCATTTGCACAAAGGGTTTTTTGGCATGAGGTGAATACAAACATTTTATCATTGGCTCCACTCAATAAATTGACCTGAAAAATCTTGCTCTCACATCACAAAACCTGCAAAATAAATATTTGGAGCTTCAATATGACATAATTTTGTTATTCCTCAGCAAGCCTTGTAATTTATAACTTTAACTTTCATCCATTGATCTCAGAGTAGGAAAGGTACACCTAAGCAGCTGAAGTGAAATGGGCAGCTTAGGCAGATTTAAAAGGTTCATCAGTATCTGAAACATATGCAGCCTTTGCTCAAGGCAATACAAACTATCAATGGACCTTAGATTAAATAGATGAAATAAAATCAATAGACCCCAAAACTATACCCCAGTTATGCACATTTTTATATAAATACAACATGCTGTCCTTTTCTGAACAGTGCAGGCAGATAACTCCTTTGGTGAAATGTCATATCAGGTATGTGCACAACATCGCATCATACCAAACACTTCTGTGACATTGCAGTGCCTTTCATGTCTCAATAAACACATCTAACGCAATCACACAGCTGTGCTGAACTGACATAATTACTGGTTGGCCCATTTCATGGGTGGCATTGTCACTGTGGACAAAGGCTATCAATGCTTATGTGGAATATTAAAATGCCAATCAGACAACAGTCTCAATATTCATGTATTTAAAAATAACAAGACCCTCAGCTCCAACATAAATATACCTGAGCACGCCTTGGCCAATCACCTCGCATGCAGTATTCCACAAGCATTCAACAGCCGGTAGCCTAGGCCACAACATTCATAACTGGCAAGTCGTGCTGTAATGAATCATTACATTATCAGCTTTGCTCCAGAATATTTAAATAAGCCATTATATGTAAACTGAGACATGGTGTGACGTGGCAAAGAACAACATGCATCTGATTAGCCCAGAAGCATCTGAAATTACTTGAACACAACCTGATCCCCCGACAACCATCCCCAATACCGCACCACAATTCAAGTGTTTTGCGCAAAGCCATCTAACGATTTTCTAACGGTTTTGCGACTGAGAAATGTGAGTACACTTAATCGCCACAAACAAACCAAAGATGCCGCTAGCATAGCACTGCCAATTGTTGGTACAACATCCTAAATCTGGTGTTAATCCCGATTCTGGTATACGTATAGTATGTGTCGACACCTACTAGTCAAAACACTTTGGAGTACCCGGTGTTGTATTGCCCTGCGTCACTATGAACTACGTGATGCTCCTGCTCCCAACGCCAAGGTGCGCCTCGAAAAGAGGCACTGTGGTAAACGCCATGGGGATTACAGGGTGTGCCATCGTCGCTACACCGTGTGTTTTAAGTGTAGGGTCAATGATGGCATATCCTTGACTTCTAAGGGAGAATTCAAAGCCAAAGCATAACTGTTATAGGTAAGACAGTAGCAATGGTCTGATTCATCGTAGAAAGAACAGGAGAATGGGGAGATAGATGCGTCGATATTTCGGCAGCATGTCCTTATCGAAACGAATAACAGTAGTCACTCCCGTTAGTCATTTCGATAAAGGCATGTTGCCGAAATATAAACGCATCTATCTCTCCATTCTCCTGTTTTTGTTTTCTCTGAGAGAACAAGGCTATTACTACGCTGTCCCTATGCCTGACATTCCTCGCAAATGCGCCTAACAGCTTGCGTAAGTGTAACTACTCATTGAATTCGAGGGATAATAGCTTCACGTTCGCATATCTTTTTGTTTCAATAGTGTTCCAATCTTTCCCAGCATTCCTTACATAATCATTTCTACAAATCAGTGTGTTGCAAACATTACAGAACACACACGTTGCAACATCAAGGCAGATGGAACATGTTGCTCTCCTAGCTGTGCACTGAGAGTTCAATAAGATTTCTCCCGCAGGAGCGGCTTCTTCTAATGCAAATTCTGAGCTATTCAGAAGCATTCCGAGAAAACTGACGTTGCTATTCAGAAATCGCATGCGTCTGGTCTAACAATAGATGAAAAGTACAAAAATACGGCAAGCTTCCTTTAACAAATGCGTAGCATTGGTTTGTCTAGCGCTGATTACGCCCCCCACCCCATGTGTAAATGTCCGTTCATATCCCTGGGACTTGCTCGATGGTGAGACACCGGATATTGATGAAAATTGGCTGTAAAGAGTCTTTCGAATCATAAATGAGATCTGCAGGACACAAAACTTGCGTTCGGATTTTGTCTATGAAGGTCACCGGCAATCAAGGCCGGCAATGAAGACTTCTGGAGGCGTCGACGGCTGTCAGATTCGTTCGACGCGTATGAGTCGCCAGCAGTAGCCTGCGTCGTCACTGGTTCCGGCGCCGTAGCGGAATCTTGTTTCCGTGGCACGGCTGGGTTTTGGAAGAGACTCCGAGATGGACTCGTAAAAGAAATCACGAACATACGTGCATACGAACGGAGACACGTGTGTTGATACCATCATGGCTGCGTGACATTTCAGTGTGTGACACGCGGAAGCTCCAGGCTGAAATGCTTGCCACCTATGCTGACCACGCGGTGAGGCCCAGTTTGCGGCCTACCAGGTTCCTGCGGACACAACCTGCTTTTGGCATTACATATTCGCACCACTGAAGTCCCTTGGGTGCGTATACGTGCCACTACATACAGTGGTAACGATCTTGAGAAAGGGCGAATAAGTCCATTTCACGCATTACAGTGGCCAAGTCGCGAACAACTGCCTCACAGCGGGTCGTCCAGCAAATGAGACAGCATTCTGGTGAATCGTCAGCCTTAAATCGACGTAAAAAGCACGGGGCCAGTCGGAGCAGACAATGTGCTGAAGCCGGCGCTGCCCAGCATCGCACGCAACCGCAGAAGTGCATCACGCAAAGCCTTCAGTTAATCCTTCTTCCTGGCCACGATGGCGGTTTCGAGTGAGTTAGCTGTGAGTGGTGGTAAGGCG